GTCGTACATTTCAGGTCCATTTTCACGGTGCAATTTGCGTTCCTTGGGATGGCCAACTCGGCACCGTTCAAGCGTCGAATCAAACGACACGATTCTAGCATGGCGCGTACACATCCGCATACCACCAGCTGTATCCGCATACGCTATCGTACATTTGCGGTAAATGTCCACGAATATTTCAGACCGATTGAAATTCTGTTTTTAAAGCGCGGAAACAGAGCTGACCCGCCGTACAACTTTGTACCAGTACTGATGATGAGCGTGGGTATTAACTCTGTCAAACAACAGGATTTGGTACGATCCGGATAGTAAGCTCCCGATATCGTTGTAACTCCCATTGTTCCAATATATCCACGAAGCCGGGCCGTACGCGCATCCACGAAGGTGAAGCGAGCTCCTCCAACAAACCCCATTGCGCAGGACCTGCCCAGCGTGGTTCTGCACGCAATACTCAAGGCGACACCTAAAATGGACGACATTCTTGACTTCCTCAAAGCGCTACCAGAATCGACGCTACCCCCCCGAGCTCGTAGCGATCCGAGACCTCAGCGCCAAACTTCACCTCGCTGAAGGCTGGCCGGACATTCATATCGCAAGAGTTTCGATCCAAGATGTCCACCTCGGCATTGCTGCGCAACCGGCGTTCAGAGGTGTGTACATTGATACCGGTTTTACGCCCCTCGCGTGGCTCGACGCAGCGCCACCGACCACGATGCCTATTATGCTGGTCATCGACCCCAGAGTCTCGGGCTCTCTACAGTAAGTGCATTCGCGTATGCTTGGGGCGACCGCATGGCCCATGTGATTGTCAGGGGCCGCACGGTGGACCACGAGCAAACATACCACACCCAACGTGTTTCCCGTTATCTTCGTTGCTACAAAGACTTCGCATACATTGTACGTAGAGACTAGCCATCTCTTTCTTCTTCATTCGCTCGCCGGGCCGCGCAGGCGGCGGCGCGGGGGCTCGTCTTGCTCTTTTGTAGTCGCCCTACGATGCTTGTGGCCGCGGGTGAGGCACTGGGCGACAAGGTCGGTAGTATGCAAATCATGGTTCGTTGATGCCGGTCCCTTCTGCCCGCCTCCGGCTAGTGGAAGCTCGACCATTGATTGGCTCTTGCGTCCGATCATGCTTCCAAGCAACCAATCAAATCGATTTATTCCGGCCAATCAAAAGCCCTGCACGCTTGAGAATCGTAAGCGGGCCTATCGTGCTCGCCTCTTCACATCTATATTCGTCGCAACCTTCGATATATCGACGTTTCAGATTCAGATACAAACGATTGCTCGTTATTGTCTCCTGTCTGCGCCCGTCACAGATCTCGGTCGCCATCAACCTTGAGTCCAAATCCCGCGGCCACGTCATAACCTTATGCAATGTACTAATCAAATATATTTGTTCTTAGAGGTACTTGACATCGTTGACATCGTCAGCACAAAGCCTTTCACATCGTCGACCACAAGATGACCAAGCGCGTTTACCAGCGCGCGCCGGCGCCGAGCCTGCCATGCGTCATTCTGCATGGCATCCTCGATATGGTGGACAACGGGCGCGATGTTGCCGCGCTCCTGAGCGCGCTGCCGGGCTTGACGCTGCCGCCCGAGCTCGTCGCGCTCCGCGACCTCGGCGCCGTCGTCAACCTCGCCGACCACTGGCCGGTCGTGCAGGTCGCGAAGATCCCGATCCAGCACGCACGCCTTGGCATCGCTGCGTTGCCTGTGTTTACCGGTATCAAATTGGGCTCTGGCGATGCCGCGCTGGCATGGCTCGACGTGGCATTGCCGACCACGATGCCCGTGACGCTCTCTGTGAGCGGCAAAGACTTTGGAACGTCTTATCGCCTTTGCGTACGCCTGGGGCGACCGCGTCCGTGACGTCACTGTCAACAGCGTCAAGGTCCGACCAGCCCAAGACATCCTCGCGCGCTGCGTGAACGTCCAGTCTGTTTCGATAGTGAGCGAAATTTCGCCGGCCGCGACTGCCGCGTACGTCGCAGCGATCTCCGCCACGCATTTGCAATCGCTTGATATCAATGCGTGGGCCCAGCCCATGGTCGACGCCTGTGCCATTGTCGCATGGCTGCAAGGACCAAATGCGGCGTCCTTGACACTTGGGTGCGACTCGGTGCGGGATCCGATGGCACTTGCCAGCGCGATTCAAAACTGCTCGACGCTCTCGTCCTTGCGCCTCGTTGAAGCAGTGGACGTCCAGGCCGCTTTGGTGGCGTCAGCCGGCAACTTGCACCATGTCACGGCGCTCTCTCTTCGCCAATTCGGAGTCGGCGACCAGTTGGCGCGGGATCTGCTCATGAAGCTGGATCACTCAAAGGTGCGCTCATTCGCGCTCGACCTTGCGCCGGTCGATGATGACGACGAGACGCCCGTGGCCGACGTCTTGACAGCGCTCGCCGAGTGTTCGTTGCTGGAAGCGCTGTGTCTTGACAAGCTGCGTCTGTCGACGGTCCCGACCAGCGGCAACTGCGCGCAGTTGTCGACTGTCGCCGTGCGGGCTGCGACGTTCGAGACGCCCGACGACGTCATCACGTTGATCCAGTGGCTCTCGACTTCGCAAAGGTTGACGTCTCTCGACTTGAGCGAAACATCGCTGGGGCAAGCTGGCGTCGCGGCGCTGACAGAGGCGCTGCCGGCGTGGATCGCGAGAGGTCTAGCGTCCTTGACGCTTCGGGCGACAGGCCTCAGCGATAAGGACGCTGCCAAACTCGCTGCCGCCATCGTATCGAGCCACAAGCGACAACATCTAGCGATCGACTTGACAGACAACGAGCTCACGCCGTACAGTGTGCAGCTGCTTACGACGACGCTCGGGACTACCCCCAACGTCACGCTGAGCTTGTGAGCCGTCACGCCATGGCTTGTGCGGTTCTTGGCGATCGCGTGTGCGTTGCACTCATTATGACATACCAATATATTGCACTTGGTACATCTTTGTTCGCTGTTTATCGATTGGACATAAATAGTGTTGCACTAACTACGAATCTTTTGAATCGAGTTCCCGGTGTGCGGTCTGGTGTGTCAATGTCTCGTCACCTGCGCCAGCGCACGTACTTACCGTGCTGAAGTGTTGAGCACATAGGTGCTCTCTTCGCGGCTCCCTTCCGTTGTTTGGACGTAACGTTGCACACTTACTTGAGAAACGATGACACTTACTTGAGAAACGATGACACTTACTTGAGAAACGATGACACTTACTTGAGAAACGATGATTTTGCCACTGGCAACTTGCCCAGCTCGGCAATTTCAGTCCGGATATCATCTTTCTACCCGGATTCTATCCGGAGAGTGGCAGAGTGCAAAAGCCACACCATGACGACCATCGTGCCGCGCGCAACCTCGCCGAGCTTGCCGAGCGTCGTGCTGCACGCCATTCTCGAGGCCACTGCGCACGGAACGGACGTCGTCGCCTTGCTCAACGCGCTACCTGTAGCAACGCTGTCGCCCGAACTCGCCGCACTCCGCGACCTCGGCGCCGTCGTCGACCTCGCCAAGCACTTGAGTTACACGGTGCTCGGCAGAGAAGGCGTCGTGGCACTGGCGCGGGCGTTGCCTGCGTGGATGGCGCGCGGCCTCAAGACACTTCAGCTGAGTGGGACGGGGCTCAATGACAAGGATGCACTCGTCCTTGCTGTCGCTCTCGTGCCGAACCGCAATCAACGGCCGCTCACGATCGACTTGACCGCCAACGGCAGGCTGACGATCGCATCGGCGCCCGTGCTATTGACGACGCTAAGTGCGTGCTATGACGTCACATTGCTTTTGAACTAATCGTTTGCGTTGCCGGCTGGCGACCAACGCAATCGGGACGAAGGCGCTCTGCAACAGCTCGTAAGCGAACACAATCTCCAGTACCTTGCGCCGGGCACGTTCATGTCGCCGACGCGCACGACGTCATCGTGGCAGTTGATTTAACGGAACAAAAGGTAGGTATGATTAACATATATATTAGCGCTCGTTCAGTGTCCCCCGCATCAGAATCTACATCTCGTTAGCCTACGGTCGTATATTGTCTTGACGTCTGCGTGCCGTTCGCCAACGTTTTGTGCGTCTGAGGTCCACGGTCGACACGCCCAATGACGCAGTCAAGCTCATGCGTGGGGTCGTGGCCTCGCAATGCTTAAAGGCAACAAACGTTGCGACGTCGCGAGCTAATCAATGAGCTCAGCAAAGATAATTTTGGCGCCTCGACTGGAGGGCATTTCATGGTCTCTAGACGCTGGTGACGTATAAGACTGAACAGCGACTCAAGCAAGTTGCATGCCTCAAGATCACGGCGCATACGGGAGCTACCCACCAGCCATTCCTTCTAACCCATCCTGGGCCTGCGCGAAGGCACGTAGCTATGACTGATGCATTGAGGTCACCGCAGTGTTTCACTAACACGACTCCATTGGACGTGTGAAATGGCGCACTGTTGTCGTGTCACGCAACATGCCTGACCACGCGCCACGTCATCACTGTAGAATTCGATATATAGAATATAAAGGGTAGTTGGCCTTTCTGTTTTGGACAAAGCACGTCCGCGTCCGCGCCACCTCACTGAGCCTGCCAGGCGTCGTACTGCGTGGCCTTCTTAAGACGCTGGACGTTGCGCGCAATATACTCGCCTTGCTCAACGCGCTGCCGGGCTTGACGCTGCCGCCCGAGCTCGTCGCGCTTCGCGACCTCAATAGCAAGGCGAGCGTGCTGGATCAGCATCTTGGCTACGTGCACGACCGGCCAATGCTCGGCGAGGTCGGTGGGATGGACCCGTCGGATCCCTGCAACCCATGGCACTTTTGCCTACGTCTCGGGCGACCGCGTCACGAATGTCCTTGTCAAACGAAGCGATACTTGAGCCGAACGCGATCCGTGACGTCCTTGCGCGCGTCAACGTCCAAACTGACGCGACGGCTACGTACTTGGCGGCGATCCCGACCACGCATTTGCATACGCTCAAGGTCCATGCTCTCGACCAATACGGAGTCGACTTTGGGTCAACGCGATAACTCGCATATCAATCTATCAACACTTCAACGCCCTATAAGAACTTTGTGCGGTCGGGTGGTCTTAACATTGTCCCGGCTTGGGTCGGCAAGGGTCCAAATTTGGAATCGTAAGTCTGGCCTGCCAATGTCCGCGTTATTTTCGTTGTTCCGCGACTTCGCAATCGTAGAGACGAGCAATCTCCTTCTTCTTCACTCGCTCGCCAGGCCGTGGCTGCTTGTCGTCGCGCTGTGCCGAATGCGCTACGCAGCCTACGCTCGAGCATGACAACCTGTCCTTGAGGTACCGTCGTACGTGGACGATACCTTGGTCCCGTCCGCTTCCTCAGTCGTCGCACGCTGCGTGGACGGCTGCACACTCGCACCCTCGTGGCGGTGGGCGAGGAGTGTTGCGATTACATCTTCGGCTGTCGGGCGCTCGGTTGGGTCCTGCTCTAAGCACTCATTGGCAAGCGCCTTGAGCCACGGCGCGCACGTGGCGCTGAATTTCGGCCGAAGACTGCCAGTGCGCACTCGTTCCGGAATGAGTCGTTGCTCGCTGACGTCGGCGTATGGCGCCTCGCGCGTGTCGAGCTCGGCAAGGACGACGCCAAACGAGTAAATGTCCGCGGGTGGACCGTACCCAGGTCCGTTGCCGCCAAGGCCGATGCGCACGACCTCGGGTGCCATCCACAAGTGGCTGCCTGTGTTGGACGTCATCAAGCCGGCGCCCAACGTCTTCGCCGACCCGAGGTCAGCGAGGCGAATGTAGTGCGTCGACGATAAAAAGATGTTGAGGCTCTTGATGTCCCGATGCATCTTGCCGAGGCCGTGCAAATCCGCCAGCGCGTAGGCGAGCACGAGAGCAACATCGATGGCCGAGACGTGGGAAGGAGCATCGATGGTCGAGACGCCAAGCGGGATGTTGTCGCCGGGACGAGTCATCTGGAGTGCATCCAAGAGGTCGCCACCGTCCATAAAGTCCATGACCAAAATTGGACTGAACAACAACGCCGTGCCGTCGTCCGACGTAAACAGTGGGTCGCGGGAACCATTGTCGAGGACCGCAAGCAGCGGCAGAACGTACGGCGATGTGCACCTACATATGGAAAATATCAATGTATCAAGAAAATCCGAGTGGATGATCAAAGTACGTTTGCATTTCGTCGATTTCGTGGCGCATCGCTGTCGCGAGACGGGGGTTTGGGTTACGAGGACCTTTGAGCACGACGGCCGTGCCTTTGTATATAGCCTTGTAGACGCTGACGCCATTGTCTTGCCGAGCGACGAGCCCGCCCAGCTGAAATTCGCTGGGAGATGCCTACATGGTGCATTCACAAAAAAGCTTGTGAGCGCAAGGGATCCAGAGCTACGAGTACCTGTGCAGGGCCTGGGTACACGCGTTCGTACAGAGCTTGCGCAATGTTGCGATGCCCGTACTTGACCGCGGTAGCCAAGACGGTTTGTTTGTTCTGTCATTGCAAATAGCATAAATATACGTAGTGCCATGCGGATGAAGTACCGGCAGTTGGATCGAAACATCGGCGCCAGCATCGAGAAGACGGTCGACAAGCGCATCGTGACCATCTTTCACCGCTCGCCCAAGAGCCGTGTAGCCCTCCTAGCACATAGCAATATGTATAGCCTTTTGCGTGGACGACGCAGCGTTACGGAATCGATTTGGTTGATGTCGAAGCCCGGTGCTCTCAAAATGGCTTGCGGCAAGGTCAAGTCGTCGCAGTCGGGGAGGGTCGCAGCATTGTGCAGCACCGAGGGCCCATCCTACAGTGTATACGGCTTCAGACAGAGCCAACGACATGCCGTTTTAGTCATACCGACGTATCTGCACCGACGCCAAGGGGCAGCGCTGCAGCGTCTGCAAACACGGCGGTCTTGCCATCGCCTCCCGAAGCTGGCGCCACCGGTGGTGCCCGCATCTTCATCATTTCCTCGAGCATAGTGTTCATGCTCCCACCAGACGACGGCGGCGTGGGTGCGGGCGGTGTAGGTGCCGGTGGCTCGTTGACCGTTGCAGCTCGCTTCTTCATCATGGCTTCTAGCATGGCGTTGCGCGATGTCGGCGCTTCTTCAACGATCGGAGATGGCGCCCCAACAGTCCGTGGGGCCCGCTTCATCGTCATCGCTTCCCGCATTGCATCCTTCAGCGTCAGCTTCTTGGACGCGTCACCGCCTTTGGACGCATTGCGCGTCATCATCATCTTCTCGAGCGTTGCGTTGCGGGGCGGCGCGCTGCTGCCGGCTGTAGCTTGCCGACACTTCATCATCTCTTCAAGCGTCGGGTTCTTGGCCGGCGGCAGACTCTTCTTGCCTACTAGTACCTCGGAGGATCTTCGCATCTGCTGCACAGAATCGTTGCGTGACGCCGCTTTGCGTGGGTCGGGTATTGGCGGCGCGTCGTCGTCGTCCATGACATGGCCGCGGAGGCGCTCATCCTCTTCCTGCTTGGCCTCGAGCTCGAGCAAGATCTCGATCGCCGACGTGGCGGGCTCCCTTGGGAGGCCGAGGCGGCGGCGCTCCTCCCACCGCTCCGCGAGTTTGAGCGAGTCCACCGTGCGGCTCGGGTTGCCCATGCCCACGCCGCCGCTGAGCAACGGGTTGGCCTTGCCATTGCTGCGCTTGAGGTCGGCGAGGAACGCCATGCTGCAGCTGCTTGTACGCGTCCTTGTGGGCTCGGACAACCCAATTCTTTGACAATCCGGATACATGCCACCTCGCCGGATACGACGAGGTGAACCAATCGGACGCCATCATATCGGGCTAAAAATACATTTTGAAAGGCGGGAACATCTAAGAACTGACCACATTTGCTCGCAGTCCGAGGATGGCGAAGCGCATCTGCCTGCCCACGACAACAAGCTCGGTGAGCCTGCCATGCGTCGTGCTCCATACCATCCTTCGTATGGTAGACAATGGAGCTGACGTGACCGCGTACCTTGCAGCGCTCCCACCGTCAACGCTGCCACCCGAGCTTGTGGCCCTTCGTGACCTCGGCGCCGTCGTCGACCTCGCCAAGCACTGGCCAACCGTGCGTGTCGTCGACGTGCCCTTCGAGTATGCTCGCCTCGCCATCGATGCGCTGCCAGCATTTGTCAGTCTCACAGTGGACGCTGGCTTTCGTGCGCTTGCGTGGCTGGGTGCCACGCTGCCACCGACGATGCGCGTGTCGCTGGCCGTGGACCTGTCTGTCCCGGGGAACCACACCGCCTTTTCGCACGTGTGGGGCGACAATGTCATCGAACTGACAATTCCAGGCAATCTGCTTGGTCATGACGCGATCCCCGATATCCTTGGGCGCTGCGTCAATGTGGAAGACGTGGCAATCGAGAGCTCACAGACGACGCCGGAAGACATTGCTGTGTGCTTGTCTGCTCTGTCGACCAAGCACTTGGATATACTCACGGTGGACGCTGGGCGCTGTCGTATGGTCGACACCACTGCCATCGTCGCGTGGCTGCAAGGACCGAACGCCTCGTGCTTCTCGCTTTCGTGCGACAGCGTCCGCGACCCGACGGCGCTCGCCAGCGCGATTGAATCGAGCTCGACGTTGTCGGCCTTAGACCTCAAAGACGTACTCGACGTCCAGGAAGCCTTGGCGGCATCGCCAAAGAGCTTGCACCACATCACGGTACTCATGGTGCGCGTCCCGCGTCTCCGAAGTGACGTGGCGCTTGGTTTGCTCCGAAAACTAGTTCCAACACGGGTGCACACGGTCTCTGTGGACCGGAACTTCCAGTGGAACGAAGGCGATGAAGATCAAGAGGTGCCTGACACGGCGATTCTCAACGATCTGGCAGCGTACTCGTCCCTTAAGAGTCTGTTCCTCAACTAAATGCACGTTTCCCCACTCACAGCAACCGGTGTCTGGCGGCAGTTGTCCTCGGTGATCGTCCACAACGCTACGTTTGATAGGCCTCGTGACGGGGCCAAGTTGATCCAGTGGCTCTCGACCTCGCGCTGCTTGACAACCGTCGGCTTTGGTACTGTCCGGCTCGGGGCAGCTGGATTCGTGAAGCTGGCAAAGGAGCTTCCTGCGTGGATGGCGCGTGGTCTCGAGGAGCTCGTGCTTGAAAATACCGAGTTAACGGACGCGGTCATTTTTGTGCTTGCCGCTGCCCTCGCTTCGGGCCGCAACACTCTCTTGCTGACGCTCCAATTGCACAACAACTGCCTCACGACGGCGTCCGTGGCGCTTCTTCTGAGAACGCTCGGCGCGTGCCAGAACGTCACTCTCAAGTTGGACCTGAACGAGCTACCTTCGTCCATCGAAGACCTCGTCGAGCGGCACCAGCTTGTGCAGTCGTCGCCCGGCATCTTCGAGTCGCCGCGCGCCGCGTCACAGTAACTTGCAATGGAACCATAAACCAACAACGACGACAGTCAATGCACTATAGCTGAAATCTTGGTTGAGTCGTGGGAACAAAATTGTCATTCGCAACGATCACTATAGAAAAATATATAGTGATCGTTGCGAATGACAATATTGTCAGTCGGTTGTCGAGTGCGAAAAGAGAAAATATTCGTTTGAGCTCGAGGATACTCAACCTGTGGCAATTTCTTCCAGCGGCGCTCGTGTCCTAGGTACCGGTAGCACTTGTCAACGAGTATCGGTCGAGAGTATATGTCGTATCCACGCGCTCCCGGTCGAGCTCAATGAGGTATACTACGCATACATGGCAGTACACACGAGTAAGACGATGGAGCGCAGTAACTATCATAAACAACTTGCCGATCTGAAGGACAAGAAATCGCACTATAGTTGCGTCCTGCCAGCACAACGCAGTGTTGTCACCTATGCTACATCAATATATATATAGACATATGAACGTGTTCCACGTTATCTTCGTTATTGCACAAAGAAAGACGTCGCATACGTAGCTGCTCCGACTAGTTGAAAATCACTCCGTGCACGGCCTCGGGTGTGTTGCTCCTCGGGTCGAGCGAACTTGCCCACATTTGATTCTGCACCACGTTGTAGCCGTTGAGGCCTGCCCACGTAAACGGGACAGCGTGAAAAGCAATGTACGACACGAGCGACGCCAAGGTCGCACCGACGGTTGCGAGGCGTGCTAGCGAAATTTCCATCCAAAGAAACGTCATGCGCGCGTCGTGGTTGTCGACCGCATCAATGATGGTTTCAAACCGCGCAATGCGATCGTCAAACCCGGCGTCCGTCCCGCTCAAGACAGCGTCGCGGCGGGCAAATTCGAGCTCGAGCAGGTGCGTTCGCAGCATGGTGCCGTGCTTGCGCTGAATGTCGAGGGCGGCCGCCAACGGCACAAGCATGGCCAAGGTCGAGAGCGACCCGACAAGACCCATCAAGAGCAAAAAGTACGTTGGCAGCGGCGCGCTGCCCGTGACGCAGTAGATAAGGACACCCGTCGACGTCCACGCAAATTGGAGCATCGCACATTGGATAAAGACAGTCGAGAACTCGACGGTAAATGCAGTGGCGGCCCGCACGCCGTTGCGCAGCGTGAACCACGCTTCGAGGTTGCCGCCGTCGATGAGGGCAATGGCCGCGCGGCCATATTCCATCAGTCAAAGCCAATGGTTGTGATCGAGTCAAAGTGCAGCCAGAGCGACCAAATCTTGAGCGAACTTCGAATGAGGAGCAGCGTCATGTATAGAATTTGGAATACGTACTTGGCCGCGAGGAGCGACTGCACGACGCCTGGTACGACCAAGTACTTGAGGACGTACCCAAGAAATCCCTTGAGCGAAACATGGTCGTACTGAATGTTCCAACTCAAACCCGCGTTGGTCAACTGGCTGCAACTGGTTGCGAGTCGCGCGAGAAAGCTGAGTGTGCCTTGGTCCTTGGCAAGAACGAGTGTTGCATTGCGCCTATGCTCGCGTTGGAGCTGCAGGTTCCACGCCGAGATGATCTCAAACTCAACGTCCATTTCTCTCTCTAATGTAAAGCCAAAGGAAAGCTCGGGGCGGCCCATGTCGGGCAGCGGCGAAATGAAAAAGTTGATGTCGGCGTCAACCGCCGTCTCCGAGACATTCTGGCAATACCCCATGGACCACGAGACGCGGTATATTGTGTCCGCCGGTGAGATGACGAGACCGTCGACACCGGGCACCATCGATGGCACCAGTGTCGCGCCCGATGGCCACGCGAGCAAGAACGGCGCGTTGTAACTCAGTGTGGCGACGATAGCAAGCAGAATGCAGTACCGCGGAATGGCGAGGCCGCTCGCGACATGGCGCTTGATCGAGGGGGCGACAAAGGCCGCGGCCACGTGCGACGACGGGATCGGCGTGCCGTCGATCGCCACAAACTGCAAGCTCGTCACGTCAATCTCATCTTTGGCGGCCGCAAACTGCACGAGGAGCGCATCCGAATCGACATCGTTCAATCGACTTTGCACGTCAAAGATGGCACTCAGCGGCTTGAGAAAGGCGCGCCAGCGCGCCATATGTTTTGTCGGCGGGTCCACGAGGTACACGACAAAAAACACCACCGAGTAAAACTCAGTGATGCCCCAAAACCAAACTTGCGCAACAAACGGACTCGTAAGAATCAGCGCCACAAAGACGCCCGCGAGGTAGAGGCCAAAGACAAACATGGGCCATTTTCGCAGCGTCCGCCAAATGTTCAAAGGTCGAGCCAGCGGCCACGACAAGGCCGACGACGACACTTGGCACTTGTCGGCCAACACCAGTAGCAGAATGGCCAAAGGTGCCAAGGCGAGGATACCAGCGATCCACGGGCCATCGGTCGTCCACCGGTGCACAACGTCAGCGTACGCTTCGAGCTTGTCGCGACTGGACTCGCCAAGCGACGAGTGTGTGCTGGCCGCCACCCGCGTCGTGACGGTGATGTCGTCACGGCGCGTCAGCTTGGACGAGGCATAGCAAGCGGCACACAGCGTCGCGACATCTTTGCCGCGCTTGGAGAGAACGTATACGGTGCCGGCAATACTCGATGGCTCCCACGTCAATCGGCAGGTGCCACTGCACACCGAAACCCCGGCGCTCGTACCATCTTGTGGTGTCCTAGCCGTCGGAATTGGCGGCTCTGCAGAGTGAATTGGAGGCTCGATCAAACGCGGGATGGCGTCGGTGTGATGGTTCACCTCTGTCAGTGTCGGACCTTCTTCATGGATGCATTGGGAACGCGACTCCGTGGCCACCTCGGCGGTGTCGGGCAATGTCGCCTCTACGCCTTCGTTGTCGCCAGCGGCGTCGACGTCGGACGATGGCATCGCGGGTTGCGGCGTCGAGTCGGATGGGATCGAAATGATCGGCAAACGTCAAGGCGCCAAGCGTTCGCTTGCGCTTGTCCGACCCGTCGCCATCTGTTGTTCGACTATTCCACGTGGCAGCCTGTGGGGCCAGCATGACGAACTTTTGTTCGAATTTGACCTTTCGACTTGAAACCCCCGACACCTCGTGTCCGCGCCACCGAAACATGGAATATCCCATTGGTATCCAGTCGATCCCGGAAGCTTGGCAATCGGCGCCGTGGTACATTTTCGTCGTTTGCACAAGTCGACAATTCGCAGGGAGCCCAAGACTCCCTTCATGAAGCCCGCCGTTGAACCGTCGTCGGCCGAGGACGACCAAATCGTCGTCGCGATCGATCGCACCGACAACATTGATCGCGGGATACTCGCGCCGCACGAACCAGTCGCGCCGGATGGAACACGTACGGTCTACTGCCAAGGTGAGAGCTGCCGCGTGCAATGGCGCCAAGTAGCCCTTGACGCGACCAGTGCCATGTGTGTCAAAGGCAAGCTCTACTGTGCAAGCTGCTTTGCGGCGCTTGACGGCAACCCAGTGGCGTCGCCTGTGCGCCGTTTCTCAACGATCAAGTCGTTCAAGCACTCGGACCGCGACGCCAAGCTCGACAAGTACGAAGCCATCATGAAGGACTCGGCCGAGTACCTCTTCTACCTCTGCGTTCTCGTGGTGGTTTGGCCGCTGCCATGGATCTACTACCATCGATGGCTCAAGCGTCGCCCGCTGCCCGAGGCCACGTACGCACCGCGGTGGCACGATCGGCTGCATTGGGTCATGGCGGCGGTCTCGCACCCGCAGTGCTTCTTTGGCTGCGTGTACATTTGGTTTGTGTATGTTGCGATCGTACTCAACTGCAAGTACGCGGCCCAAGCGTGGTTTTGGGCCCTTCTGGAAGTCTACACGGTCTACTTTCTATTGCTCAATATCATTTATGCATCGTCACCGATCCGCAAGTCGATGGCGGTCCCCGACCAACGACTCTCTGAGGCCCGACGACGCTCGTCCTTGCGTCAACCGCTGGCGCCTGTTTTTGCGCTCATGCGTCGAAGCTGGTGGGAGCAGCTGTTTTGGGCCATCGTGCTGACCATGGTGCCCATCTGTGGCGTCGGGTACGCCGAGCATCTCTACGCGTCGCTACCCAACACGTTTCTCATCGCCAACGTCAGTGGGGATGTCAATAGCTTGGTTTTTGTCGACAAGGACGGCCAGCCGTTCGCAGACGACCCGGCCCCGACCGTCTTTGCCACGCGTGTGGCCAAGCGATGCCAAGTGTACCTCGTGCATGTTGCGCTGTGGGTCGCAATCAACGTCGTCGTGATCTTCAACGGCGCGCTCTTGCATTCGTGGGTCACGCATGTGGCCCCGTCGACGTCGTTCCTGATCCCACTGGACTCGGTGCTGCAAATTCCAGCCAACGTCAACTACACCGTAAACGGCAATCTCTCGGATATTTGCGACGTCAACGACGACGGTTCGATCCGCGCGGTGTGGAATTTGGCTGTGGCGCCGACGCCAAGTCATATGAACGGACTTCCGACCATTGTGATCGGGTTTGCCGATCCATTTACTGAGGACGAGGTCACCTTTACAGCGCTCTCGGTGGGCACGCTGGACGTGGTGACACTTGGCCCCAACTCTGTGTCGTTTCAGCCGCCCGACATGACTGAGAAGCTCACGCTGCGCGCGCGCTTCTTTAACCTCTCAACATGCGACGACGTCGGTGGCTTGCGACTCTTGTACACATCGACGTACGCGCGGCCGTCGATCCGCGATCAATTCGGAGGCTCCCAACGCAACGGGCTGCCGTTCTGTCTTCTCATCAAGTATTGCGTCCAGATGTACGTTGTGGCTGGCATTGTCGGGTATTCGTCGCTCCAGATCTGGTCGCTCTGGCTCCAGTTCGACTCGCTTACACGGCCACCCGACGACGACGACAACGCAGCTCGTCCGACCAAGAAAACAAAGTCGCAAAAGAAACTCCATGTGGATCTGACGCTGCACCAGAATCTGAATGTCTGGTACAAATTGCGCTGCCGTGTGCTCAAGGTCGTTGCTGTCTACACGCAGTTTGTGTCGGCGCTCATGTCGATTGCGCTCGTTCAACTTGCGGTTGCGGTCGGCGGTCTTGTCATTTACTGCATCAGCGGTGACGCGCCATTGCCCGGCTACTATTTGCTGATTTTGACGCTGCTGGGGTCGCTCTCGACACTAGTATTTATGTTGCCATTGGCCAATGCGCTCGACATTCAAGCCAATCACGAGGCGATGCTCCATGATGTACTGCTCAAGCTCCATCTCGACGCGGAGACGCGCTCCAAGAAGGATCGACTGAGCTTGATGGCGTGTGTGACGCGCCTCATCGAGAAGGTCGGACAGAACGACGACCGGATTAGTTGGGGCGTCGAGCTCTCGATGGCGCGGCTGATCGGACTTGCATTCTCTATTGGCTCGGGCTTATCGGTCGTCTTTTCGCAGTCGGTGCACTACTCGTTCTCTGCGCAAGCAAACTGGTATGACGCGTTTGGCTCGTAATACGAGTACTAGTACGCGTAGTCGGGTGTCGAACCATGTTTACTGGGTGAGAGCAGTGGTTTATCGTCGAACCGATCAAAGGAAATTGTCACCATCGTATTAATGTATTATATTAATGTCGTTGAAACTCTTGTTACTGTTACACTTTCCTTTGGTCTACAAGCGCACCTGCAATGCACAAAAAACATCAGGCACCATCACTCGACAAACGTCGATGAGTGTTTTAAAGTGGAAATATCAACAATACAGTGTTAATTTCGTCACGGCACCAATCCAAATGTCTTTAAGAGGGGAATTGAGTCGTACAGTCCATCTCTGGGCTCGTTCCATGGGTGGTCGAGCTTGCGTGTGAAGACAAACGAGACGGCCGACCCGATCGAGACGGTCAATCCAATGAGCCGCGCCGTCGAGAGCTGCAAGCCCCAAATGCAAATCCTATCGTCGGTCGTGCGGATCTTGGTCGCAAGCCGCGCCAAGCACTCGATGCATCGATGGCGGCTGGCGACAGCAGCCAAGTCTTTTGTCTCGAGCTGCAATTGCAATCGAATTCTCTGCAATAGCGACTCGTGGTTGGCTTGGACGTCGAGGGCTTTGGCCAGCGGCAGCAAAAAGATCAGTGTTGACAAGGACCCAAACACCGTGAGGATCAGTAGAAAGTAGCCCGGCAACGGCGCGACGCCGCGGAGGCAAAAAATGAAGAGGCCACTGACTGCACTCGCAAGCTGGAACAGCGCCATGGCGAGGAGCGCTTGGATAAACTGCGTGTAAATGCGAACGACCTGGAACACGCGAGAGCGCAGCCGGTACCACATTTCAAGGTTTCGATGCTGCGTCAAATCCACTCGGCCCGCAATCTGGTCAAACTGGATCCAGAGTCGCCAGATCTGGAGCGACGCGCGCCCCGTGATGGCCGAGACAACGTACATCCGAAAGCAGTGCTTGATAAGGAGAAGCGTCGGGAAGAGCGCCAATCTATCTGGCAACGAGCGAAGGTACTGCGTGAGCGACCCGCCATTGTAGATCGACGTGGCGTAGGGTTTCAGCTGTTGGATGTCCGTGCAGTTGCCAGCGTCGGTGACGGCGGCCATAAACATGTAGTTGCGCTGATCTGCAACGGGCTTGAGCGTCACCGTGTCCGTGAACGAGGGCGCCCACGGGTTGAGGACGCTGCCCGAGACATCGTCCATTAGAATAAACTCCCAGGGCCGACGTTTCGAGAGAAAGTGCAGATACAGCGTCGGAAGACCATTGGCCGCACTCGGTTTTGGGCTCAAGTTGAGGTTCCACATCACAAGGTACCGTTCGTATGGCGCATAGAACTCTTGGGTTTCGCAGACGTCGGTCATTGTCGCAGTGACGGTATAGTCGACATTCGATGCCATGCCCATGAACGGATTTACTGGAATCGGAAACGGCTGGGACGGCCACACGTTTGTGACCCACGAGAGCAGCAGCCACGCGTTGATGGCGACAACAAATTGCAGCGCGACAAAGAGACAAGCTCGGTACTTGCGCAGTCGCGTGTTGCCTTCGAGGCGAGCTGCAAACACGGCCGGCACGGGGTTGTCGACCAGCGGGCGCCCGTCGGCGTCGACAAAGACGAGCGCGTTAATGTCAAAGTTGGTGTCGACGTTGGCCAATAAAAACGTGTTGGGCAAGGACGCAACGGCGCGCTCGACGTAGGCGATACTGCACACGGGGGCGAATGTCAGTACGATGGCTTGGAGAACCTGAAAGAGGACGCGCTTTGTGGAGGCTACGGCCGCGCTGACCGAAGGTAGCACGACGCGCGTCGCAAGTGTCGACGCCGGCGCATCGGCAACGACGGTGTGCGTGTCATTGGACGACTTGCCAATGGGTGACGCGACGTAGATGATGTTGAGAAGCAAAAAATACACCGTGTAGGCTTCGAGAAGGACCCAAAACCATGCTTGGGCCGCGTACTTGCAGCTATAGATAATACAAAGCACGAGGAGCCACACGTAGGCGCAGCAGCAAACACACTGCAGATGCGAAACCGCGGCCAAAATCCAGTGTAGCTGGTCGTGCCAGCTTGGGGCGATAGACATTGGAGGCCGAGACATACGGCGCAGCCAAAGACAATAGTAGGTCCACACCAGCGGCCAAAACAAGACAATGAGAGCGAGTAGCCAGAGATATTCTTGCGTATCGTTGATGACGTCAATGTACTTTGTCAGAGTCGCTTGTCGGCTCGTCAAGTCGAAGAGACTAGTGCGTAGTAGTGACGGTTGGACTCGAAGCGGCTCGGGTTTGCCCTTGAGATTCAAAAAACACCGCGAGCAATAGCGCTTGGACGACCAACGCCGGCGCTTGGCACTCGCGATGGTCAGTGGAGCCTGGTGCCACGTCGCACGGCACATGTCGCCGTCGCAGTACGCCGTCTCGAGCTCGACGTCGCAACCGGATGCGGCGGCGGGCACACTGACAGTCGCGGCGTCAAGTGCCAGTTCGATATCACACGGATGGACCTCAGGCTTCATGTGCGAGACGGAACTCTATGGTGGAGCTTGGTCAATGGCCATGTGTCAAGCCATTCATTTCGCCGGGTGAGATCGTCGATGGTTCGAAGATTGCAAAACTGCTCGTTTGGGCTCTGCAATCGACTCGCAGCGGAAATAGCGTCACTCGAATGAAAATGCGGAGAAAATCAAGTACCGGTAGGCTTCGAGAAGAACGCTGATGACGCACTGTAGTCGTGAGTTTGAAAGGAATATTACAAGTTGTAGCCAGCCGCTGCTGTTGTTGTTGCCGTCATTGCTATAAGGTCTAAGCTTAAGGAAATCATAATAACGCCTTCCCGGACGTCGCTCACATGATCATCCATTGGGTGGTTGTATGTCTTCGTCACCGAGAGATAGTGAGTGTCCAGCACAGCGACAACAGCAATACGAGCGGAGAGCTAGAGACGTTGCCGTTGTCGACGGTTAAAGAGTGGGATTCTCCGCTCAAATGCTCAAATGCTCCATGTCGCCCGTTCTTCGCGATTTTCGTGCGCGAAACGAAATCTCACCCAGCAAAATGCAAACTCCACTCTTCACAGCACGATGGCACCGCCTGGAGAGACTGACGCGCCAAGCTGCATCGTCGGAATTCCCCAAGTCGAAAATGTCATGACGCCCCCTCGCGGTGATAAGGACACGGCAAAGCTCCAGGCGTACGCGTCTGTCATGTCAACGTGGGTCTCGGATGGTCCGTGGGTCGTCATGATCCTCGTCTTGGCGCCAATTGCGGTGCCGATGCTTGCGCTCGCTTCTCGTCTCATCTCGGTGCCGCTACGACCTATTCAAGTGTGGCAGTCGCTGCCAAAGGTCCGTCTCGTGCTTTGCAGCCTCTTTCTGATGGCCGAGCTCACGCTGCTCGTGCTCACGTGTCCGTTCACGGCGCAGATCTGGTTTTGGAGTCTCCTCGAGTTCTCGACGGTCGTCAACTTTGCAGTCTACTTGCTCGACCCGCGCGCATTGCACGTCACCTCAGCTTTGGACGCGCTGTGCCTACCGTTGCGCCCGTTTGTCGCGGCCCCTTGCGTGATCATTGGCTTGCTTCGCGACGTGCCGAGTGCCCATGTTGTGGCATTTGCCGCCGCGTCCCTCGGTATCTCTATCGAAACGCTCGTGTTTGCGGCATCTGACGGATCACACGTGTCGGCGGCGCGCGCATTTGATGCCGACCAAGCGCAGGCGGCGGCGACGCGGCGCCTCGCGTGGCCTCGGATGGCCATCGCTCTCTTCATCGCTATCACAGGCGTATACAACCAGATGTTTCTGCACTCGTGGCCAGCTGGTGTCTGGAATGCAAAACAGGTGTTTGCGCCGGGCATCAACGGGCTGCTCGCGACGCATCGGAATTCCGTGTACAGCATTACGACCGACATGTCGAAGAAGCGCTGCGACAACACAACGCGTTCCGGTAAATTGATCTTTGCGGTCAGCGTGGCCATCAAACCGGAACCCAGCATCGAAGAGGGCCTCCCGCTCGTCGTGTTCGAGTGCCTCGCAAAGCGGAACCACTCGTTCGTGCCATTTCTCCTCGCCCCTTCGTCATCAGACGAGAGCTTTGAGACTGCGTTTGCATACAACGCGTCGATCGCGCTCGTCGACCGTCAAAAATCGCTTCTCTTTTCGGTGTCGATCCAAGGAGAAAATTGCAGCGACGTCATCAACTATGATTTCAACGCGACCCAAACGTACGCCGCCGTGCCGCCCGCAGCCTACATTCAGTATCTGCAAATCACGTCGTCGGTCCCGACGCTCGGTGTCCTTCAGCTTGCCCTCGCTTGCAAGTACCTCGTGCAACACACGATGCTCTCGGTGCTCGTGCTTTTTTGTGCACTCCAGAACTGGCGACTCTGGCTGTGCTTTGACGGTATCTTGGCCCACGGTTTGTATATTGCCGACCGCAAGACCGCGGCTCTGATCGACTTGGCTTTTGGCGACAACCTCAAGGTTTGGTTTCAGCTCCGTCAGAGCGTCCAGACTGCTTGTGTTCACTGCACGTCCTTCACGACCATTTTTCTCAAAGGCGCTTTGGTGCAATGCAGCGCGACGATGCTTGCGATTCTCTTCTACTGCATCACGGGCAGCGCGCCGCTGCCAACGTACTTTTTGCTCTTGATGGGTCTCATTGGGTCGCTCTCGACCTTGGCCATGCTCTGGCCGCTCGCTGCCGCCCTCGACATTCAACGCAAACACGGCCAAACACTCAGCACGCAGCTTTTGGAACTCCATTTTCGGTGCTTGGACAAGACAATTATACCGGATCACGCCGACGCGTGCATTGCGCTCTTCGAGTCGATCATGGAGAATGTCGAGCGCTACGAGCACCGCATGACGTTTTTTGGCTTTGCGATCACTATGCCGCGCCTCGCGACGATGGGAGCCGCCTTGCCGTCGCTCGTGTCGTTCATCGCATTCCACGTCGTGCCGTCGACGTGGGCGAGTTTCAACGCGTTCAGCGTCATGGAGAACGCTACTTACGCTGCAGCAATCAATCCAGCCAACAACACGTACTCGGGGTAAATCTAGTACGAATACGATTGCTAGTCTCTACGTATGCGACATCTTTGTGTAATTATGAAGATAACGCGAAACACGTTCATATATATATATAATACGCATTTTTCTTTAATGTATGTGGCACCTTGTCCTATTTCGTTTGAAAGTGCGTGGAAGTAGGGCGCGCTAAGAAGGGGCTCTTCGTGCATCATTCTGCTGTCTACGTTTCTCCGTCAGGGAGTTTGTGAGGCGGAGATAAAAAGCAAATGGAAAGATCAAAGTTCTCTGGAACCCCAGGCTGGAACCCCTGAAATTTGCATTCTCCGTCGCTCGTGAGTGCGCCTCTTTCAAGGCCACGAATCATTTTGGTTGGCGCTAACACCAGCCATTACACTCGTTGCACAATCTCACTTACATGGTGCGCTCCGCTCTGACGATCGTGCTGGCGGTGGCAACAACTGTGGCGGCGGCGCCTTGTTCCGGGGCTGAAAATAACGCGGCGGAGGGTCTCTTTGCGGCCAACGTCTCGGCGGCATGTGCTACCAGCCTCAATCTGACATCAGCGACGTTCAATCATGTCATCTACGACTTGCGGCCCTCGAGTATGTGCCATCCGTCGTGCAAAGACGAATTTGGAGAGTTTGCGACGCGCCTCCCCACGTGTGACGACGTACTGAACTTGGTTGGTTTATGCGCCAACTTGTCCAATCCAACCATGAACGGCGCCACGTGCACAACGGCAGACTTTGTATTCTTTGACGAACTGGTTCATACGCCGATGTGGGCCAACTGCTCGAGCGTTCCCAAAGCCACGCTGCTCTCTATTGTACCAGAAGACTACGACAGTGCCATGAAGTTGTGCGCATCCGACAACTGCACTTCGTTCGTCAACTCGTTGTCACATCTTTGGCCCAAGTGCGCCCACGATGAGGAGAATGGTGAGCTGATCCCCAGCTTCAACGAGATTTTTAGCTGCACACCGTCCCCCCGCGACGAGCCGTGCGCCATGGTGGACATTTTCAAAATGAAAAAACTGACCGAGACGACGCCTATCTGGACCAACTGCTCCAAGTACCTCGGCCTTGCAGTAGACGCGACGTTCGCCACGATCGGACCGGACCGCCTTGAAGACGCAGCTGTTCCGTCCGGCTATTGCGTGTCGCCGTGCCCAGCGTACATCTTGTACGTGCTGAAGCACGTGATGCCGCCGTGCACATTCCAACACCCCGTTGTGAACCCCACGCCGTTGTACAGTCTCTGTCCGTCCACGCGACCACCTTCAAGCGCGATGGGTCGCGCGCTCGGTAGCAGCACGCTCACTGTTATGATGGCAGCACTTCTTGTCTAGTAAAACGCAAAAACTAGTGCATATGCATAAAGAATACTGGCCGCAAAGTGAATAGCATCGTAGGAGCACTTTTCCCCGGTACCGTTTCGGTGAGGGGCAACCTTGTTATATCCCAAGCTCGTAGACTCGAGCAGTGACAATTTGCCTCTAAAACACTCCCTTGAAAGCATTATAAAGATAATGTCTTGTGACGACACCCTTTTAGTATTCCCTTGACATAGACCATCGACGTGTCAGCCCGAGTTGGGTGAAACGTAAGATTCCAAGTCGTGGAATCGTACCCTACGAACAGCTCCTCAACCCATGGTGGTGCTCTGGTACACGGCCTTGCTCATCGATGTGGCTGCTGCAGCCAAGGCGGTAGACAAGATTTTCGTGCAAATGGGCGCCATTATCAAATAGTTATATACACTGTAATTGTTTTTGTTACATTACGTGTCATGCAGGGGATCCGACCAGCTGTGGCCTACCTTGCGCGAAAAGACCACTGATAAGCCCGACCCGATCGAGAATGCGAGCCCAAATAGCCGTGCAGTTGAGAGCTCGACGCCCCAAAAACAAATCCGGTCGTCGTTGTACCCGACCTTTTCGATGAGCCGCGTCAAGCACGAAACAAGAGCTAGTCGGTCTTCGGTCTCTCGCTTGTCGCGCTCCGAGTGCAGTCGCAAGAGCAAGGCGTGGAGCATCGACTCGTGATTGGCTTGAATGTCGAGCGCTTTGGCCAATGGCAACAAAAAGGCGAGCATCGAGAGCGACCCCAGCAGCGTCAAAATCAGCAGATAGTAGCCAGGTAGTGGTGCGACACCGCTGACGCAGTAGATGACGAGACCCGTGACCGCAACCGCAAGTTGAACGAGCGCAATCGACATGAGCGCCGACACAAACTGCGTGTAGACAGCAACGACCTTAAGCACACGGCAGCGCAATTTGTACCAGACATTCAGATTCTGGTGCAGCGTCAGATCCACATGGTGTTTCTTTTGCGACTTTGTTTTCTTGGTCGGGCGAGCTGCGTTGTCGTCGTCGTCGGGTGGCCGTGTAAGCGAGTCGAATTGGAGCCAGAGCGCCAAAATCTGTAGCGACGAGTACCCGACAATGCCGGCGACCACATACATTTGAAAGCAGTATTTCACCAGAAAAAACATTGGCAGCGGTGCCAGCCCGTGCGGTGCGTCCGCCAAACGGTCCCGAAGTGACAGTTCCGTGTACGACGTTGTTGCATTCACTCGCAGCGCGGCCATGTCACTGCAGGTCGAGACGTTGCGGAATGACGCACGCAGCGTCACGTCGTGCTGGTTGATGGCTGGACGTACCGACATGGAATACAAGTCTTGCGCCACGAGCCGAAGCGTCCCGACGGCAAGGTCCGTGAAATAGACGGGCTCTTGGGTCGGAGATACGAACGCCAGTAAGAGCGTCGGAAGCCCGTTCGTGACACTTGGCGTTGGTTTGATGACCAAGTTCCACACAGCGAGGAACGCTCCGTCGTCGGTTGGGTGACAGATATCAGTCATCGTACCAGATACGGTGTAGTGGACGTTGGAGGGCAGCTGGATCAACGCGTCCAGCGGGATGAAGAAGCGCTGCGACGGCCACGCGTGCGTGACCCACGACAGCATGAGCCAAACGTTCAAGGCAACGGCGAGGTGAATGACCACAAAGAGCCCCACTTGGTAGGCTCGCAAAAGCCAGTGGCCGTTGACCCGAGCAGCAAACACGCCGGGTGCAGGGTTTTCCGGCAGCGGCTGACCGTCGGCATCTGTAAAGATGAGCGCGTCGACATCGTTCCCGGCCTTGGCAACCAAATACGTATTGGGCAAGGAGGCAAAGAGGTGCTCGACGTAGCCGACGCCGCAGATGGGCACGATCGTGAGCACGACAGCTTGCAGCAGGCGAACAAGAAGAGCATTTTCGCGATGCATCAACGCGCCCGATGCAAATGACTTGTGGTTGATCGTCGCTTTGAGCGGATCCGCATTTGGTGAAGGACGCATGTTGGGCTCGTGGGCGGAGGGAATTATGGGCGAAGCCACGTAAATGATGTTGAGAAGTAGAAAATAGATGGTGTAGACTTCGAGAAGTGCCCAGAACCACGCTTGAGCTCCGTAGTAGCAGCTTTGAACGATAGCCACATAGATGAACCAGATGTACGCGCAGCAGCAAGCGCACTGGAGGTGCGAGACGGCAGCCATGACCCAATGCAATCGATCGCGTGCGCCTGGCGCGTACGATGGCGCTGGCAACGGTAGCTTACGAAGCTTGATGGCAAAGTAACCCCACGTGAGCGGCCAAAAGATGACAATGACGCTGAGAAAGCCGACGTGGTCGCGCGAGTCCTTGATGATATTCGCATACTTGTGCAACTTGACGTCGCGGTTCGGGTACATGAACGAAGACACGGCGGACGCTCGGCGGACCGGGGAGGGCTCTGGCTTGCCCGGAAGCTTGCTGAAGCAGCTGGCGCAGTAGGACTTGGACGAGCCCTTGACGTGCAAAGCTTTTGTCGGGTCCAGAGCGACTGGGTGCCACTGCGTTTTGCAGCTCTCGCCTTGGCAGTACACCTTGTGCGTCACGTCCAGTGCCGCCGTCACAGGCGCTGGAGACGCCGATGGCGGTGAAATGTCCTCGGTGCGGTCGACGGCAACAACGCCATCTGCCTCCGCCGACGGCGTCACATGCGAGCTCATGTCCAGTCGTGCGAGCCGATTCGCGACTTGTCG